TAATAATAATAAAANAAANAATAATAATAATAATAATATAATAATAATAATAATAATAATAATAATAATAATAATAATAATAATAATAATAATAAGAATAAGAATAAGAATAAGAATAATAAGAATAATAGTAATAATAATAATAACAATATCAATAATAATAATGACAATAATAATAACAATAATAGTAGCAGAATAAGAGATCGAAGAATGCAATATTGAAATTGGTTGAGAAAAAAGAGAAAAATGCCCATTCCTCACAGCAAAACATCCCCCACCCCATTATTATTTTGTCAATGTTTTTTTTTCTTTGTTTTTTTTAGAAGAGCGGTCCGTTATTTCCGTAACGTCCACCGTTAAGTCTACCTCTCACAATCATCACTACCATTACCGCTACCAATTATTGCTACCATTATCACCGCCACCATTTACTATCATTTACCAGCGCCATCAATTAAAGACATTATTGTTACAAACAATTAACTGGTCAGAAGAAAAAAAAAAAAAAGAAAAAAGAAGGAGTAGAAAGGAAAAAAACGGTCAGTGAACTGATCGTATGGCGGCATATTCTATTGATGTAATCAGTTATGTAATTGCTATCATTGTTATTATCACATCGGCGAATATCGATTTTAATCCATTATTTCATGGCAATTGTGTTGATTACAAACATAAGGTTATCATTAATTGTCATAAGTTTTAAGTTTTGAATTTAATCTGATCATTCATTCCATTTTAAATGATATCATGGAAAAGAAAAGAAAGAGGGAAAACAATATTTTACGGAATATTTTTGATGCGTTCAACAAGGAGAATAGATGTTTATAATTAATTAATAATTACCGTAGCAAATAATTATTATCGGTGTAATAGCGGTGCACAGTGAATTTTAGCCACATAAATCTCCTTCTTGCCCTCTTCCTTCCTCCTCCAACTTTTCTTTTTAATTTACAAAATAAAAGGGGAAAAATTAATTGATTGGTTTCAAAAATATTAAAAATTTTGACAAGTCAACTTTAATTAAATTCGATTTAAAGTAACCGAGATTAACCGCTCTTTTATTTTTCTTACTTTATTAATTTGCAATTTTAGGAATAATTCAGATAATAAAAAAATAATTTCAGGATTTCGCATGCACTGTCCGTTCAGGTATGAATATCTCTCTTTTTGTGTCATATTTGCATTTGCTGGAAACAAAAAAAGTGATTGTTTAAAATATCAAGAATTATTCGTCGGAAGATACATAGTTTCATTGTGTTTTCATGATAACTGAAAATCTTTTCCTGTTTACAGTCAACAAAACCATACCGGAATGTTGACATTGCATTAATATTTGACGGGGAGGAATTCTTAGAAGATGGTGATGAATCCCAATTTATGGATGGTTATGTATGGCCGGATGATTCAGAATTCATAGAAGATGATGTATGATGGACTGGAAATTCATCGATGATATGTGACAGAATCGGAATTTGCGAAAGACGATATTTGATCGGGTGGATTGAAATCCGTAGAGGGTGATGTATGATCGGATCCGAATTTAAATTCCCATTCGGTCACATATCATCGCAATATCATAGCAACAAGTTGGTTGATATCGAAGCATAACGATATACATTCCTGAAAAACAGCTAGTAATAACGTTGATAACTTTTTTGTCCAGGTGACTTTAAGCAATTGGAATTATCAATATTCTAGCCAAATATGCCATTTACGATATAAAATTATATTATGGTTAAATGTCCACTTCAGATGAAATAATTAATTATTTAAGTGTCAGTAATTACTGTTAATTATTTTAGTAAAATGCGATGATAGAAGTATAACGATCAGTGAGAACAGCAATAATATTAGCGCAATAATGGATTCAACGATATATGCGCATGATATTCGGGTGGAATCATTTGCTCGTGTCGTTACCCGTTATGCTCGACATACTTATCAATTATCTGTTGATATCTCATGGCAATTACCTCCAAATAGTTCGTATATTATTTTTAGTATAAATTTGCTTATTATAACAAATTTATTATAATAATTGATAACCAGTTAACTACAATTATGTCTTTTAATACTGAATAGTTTAATTTTGTCATATTACTGATGATTCTTCTGGGCGATTTTCATAAATTTGATAAGCCAGTTAGCAGTAAATTGTAGATACTTTCCGATTTACTATTTCAAATTTCCAGAATTGTTGTAGGTTAACAATGGAAACCAATTCAAAACAGTATAAAGCATTGAATTTTAACTTTAAAAGTAGAGTTGTTTGTTAATCCCAAACTATCAACGCTAAGATCAAATTTTCTGCAAGATTGTTTGAAGATAATTGTGTATAACATAAAAAACACATCTCAAATATAAAATATTTATGCGTCAAATATTTAATTTCGAGATTTTTAATCAAATTACAGAATAAATACATAGGATAAGCATAGGATAATAACAATAATAATAGTAATAATAATAATAATAGTGATAATAGTAATAATAGTAATAGTAATAATAATAGTAATAATAATAATAATAGTAATAATAGTAATAGTAATAGTAATAGTAATAATAATAATAATAATAATGATAATAATAATAATAATAATAATAATAATTAATAAT